TGATTTAGAAATTATGATCGTCAAATATTACTTAAGTATTTGACTATCAAATATTTATTTGATTCTGCCAAGCACTAGAAAGTATTGTTATTGAAAGCGGAAACATTGTTATTGGGAGGTAAATCATTATTTAAAGCATTATTATTGTTATTGCAAGTGGGAGTGTCGTTATTAGAGGATGAGTTGGTGTTATTAGGAGGTAAATCATTATTTAAAGTGTTATTATTGTTAATATTGTTATTGCAAGCGGGAGCGATATTATTAGACGAAGAAACGTTGTTAGAGTTCATTTTAAAAATTCTTTACCTTTTCCAAATAAAAGAATCGGGTATATTTATATATCTAAGAAATAATAAAAATTAATAATGCTGCTTAATTCATTATATAAAAAAAAGTGAAAGTATGCTTATTTGTCTACTTATGCATAATGTATTTAAGAAATAAAAAATTTATATATGATGATGATCGTTATATATGAAAAAAAGCAAAAGTATACTTATTTGTTTTTTTTTTTTTATTTACATGTAATGATAATCTATGTTTCTAAGAAATAAAAAATTAATATATGATGATGTTGATCATTATATACGAAAAAAGAAGCAAAAATAACTTATCTCATTTGTTGTTTTTTGTAATATCAACAATACACGTGTAATAATTTGCTGAGTTACTATTGAGAAAGAAACATATTAAATAATATTATATGTAATATATTATTATAACTTACATTATATAAACAATTATTATGCTTTGTTTTGATTAAAAAAAGTTGTTTAAAATTGATATAGATCGATTAGAATCCTTAAACCATCTTTTAATCATTGCTCTCTGCTATATTCTATATCTTCTTTCATAACCATTTCTTATTCAGATTCTTTATAATCGATCTATTACTTTAACCACTATTTCTTCTCTTTCATTTGTTTTCTTTTCTCTTTCATTTGCTTTCTTCTCTCTTTTGTTTGCTTTCTTCTTTCATTATTATATTTTTTCGCTATTTATCACTATTTATCATTGTTTCATTTCTTTTTCTCATTCACTCTTCTTTGATTATTTCATTTGTTTTCATTCTCTCATTTACTCTCTTCCTTTTATTTCATTTATATTTTCTCATTCGCTCTCTTTATTTCTTTTATTTTTCAAAATGCTTTTGCTATGTGAATATTGTGGTCGAGAATTTTCAAAAGCTCACGCCTTAATACAACATATGTTGCAAAAACATCCTTATATCCAAGACCCAGACTTTCCCACAGAACTATTAGATAATGATACTTGGAATAATCTAGAATACAGCTATTCTTCTTTGGAGCATGATGCTAATGAATCTATAATATATAGGATAATTATTTAAATATCATTATTAAATTATAGTTATAAATTATTAATAAACGATTATATTTGTATAGCGCGAAATTATGTCAACGTCACCTCTATCTAGATTAGGCTCTTTTATAAACACAGAAAATAACTTCAATAAAGTTTGTAAATTGGTTGTTAAAGAACCCGGATAATTCTTAAAAGGTGGTATTATTAATCTGTCGAGTTTAATAATACCACCTTTCTAGAATTATCCAGATCATATTAAGTTATAAATTGTTAATAAATGATTATGTTTGTATAGAACGAAATTATGTCAACGTCACCTCTATCCAGATAAGGCTCTTTTATAAACACAAAAAATAACTTAAATGAAGTTTGTAAATTGGTTATTAGAGGATCCGGATAATTCTTAAAAGGTGGTATTATTAATCTAGATATTTTTTTGGAGTTAAATATGTCTAAATTCTGTTCAAAATTAAAATTTAATTTTAACTGTTTGGCCTAAAAAAATGCTCAGCTTAATAATACTACCTTTTTAGAATTATCTGGATCAGTTGTTAATAATTATTAAGTTATAAAATGTTAATTAACGATATATATTATTTAGAATGAAAATATGTTAGTATTACAGAAAGAGAGCCACTTTCATCAAATATATCTGAAGACGAAGCTTCTGATGAAATTGATCCTGAAGACTACGAAGGAGCTTCATTTGATGATGCTTTTAATGATTTGCATTATCCACAAACCATCGAATAGCTTAACGTTGCTTATAGAGAATTTAAGGAAATAATCAATAAGTATCAACTGTCAAATTCTGCAGGCAATACAGTTATCCGTTTCTTCAACAAAATTTTCAATTTGGAAGCTTCACCATTGCCATCATCAACAAAAATTGAGAAGGACTTTCTGGACAATTCTATAGTTCCTTGTATGATATTCAAAGAAATTCCTATAATGATGTTTCAAGATGTCAAATATAAGTTTCACTATCGATCATTAATAAAGACTTTAAAATCTTTATTAATGATCGATAGTATTAAATAAGTTATTGATACTTAAGTATGAAGAAAAATATGAAATAAAAAATGGCATTGAATGCCATGTCTTTGAAGAGCAATTCAATTGCAACTGGTGGAAGCGTAAAAAATCAGAATTACTTCTTGGTCAATATTTATTATCAATCATAATCTATTCAGATGCAACAACCTTGGATCATTTGGGAAAATCTTCTGGTCATCCCATTTTTCTATCAATTGGCAATATTCCAAATTAAAAGAGAAATAAAACGAAATCCAAAGCATTAGTCAGATACCTCCCAATTTTAAAAGCAAAAGACACTAAAGTGAAAAGCTCGGAAAGTTTCCGAGCATTGCAAAGAAAAGTCTTCTATAAGTGTTTTTCGATTATCATTAAACCCATAATTAAAGAACTAGAGCTTCACTTTGTTATTCATGGTAGCATAATTACCTTTGTTCCATGAATTTCAATGATATTGGCTGATTTAATTGAAGTTGATAAGATGGCAAATATCTATCAACCATCTTCTTCAAAGTGACTATGCCATTCATGCTTAGTATCAAATAATAATTTAAATAATATAAATTTAACTAATATCTCACCTAGAACACCCATTAATATGGAACAAGCGATATATAGCAGTAATAACTATAATTATTCAATTCATCCTGAAGCAAATGCGTTTTGGAAGTTAAGGTAAAAATTTAATTTATTAGTATAATAGTATTTGTTTTAGTATAATAGTTTTTTTTTTTAGTATAATCAGTTTTTTTTTTTTTAAGAAATATATAATTTAATAAATAAATTTTTTAGAAACTTTAATATTTACCAAGCTATCGTTCCT